TTCAAGAGAGGGAGTTTAGAGTGAGGTTATGCGTGGCTGGCCACTTGATAGCTCATAACTATGCCAGAGAAAATAGGAGCCCCCCAAAACCCTTATTGCCCCGCGGGTTAGGGGGCAGGGCTTTGGTATGATTAGATGAGGGTGAATGCCGGGGGTATTGTAGGGCAGTTCATCGATATCGTCCCATCTTACCCCCGCCCCACTGGAAAAAAATCGCTGACGGACGTAAGATGCATATACGACTGCGCCTTTATTCTACTGATCAAACAGGTTGAGTGAACTTTAATTTGGAATTTATATTTGTTAGCACCAGGAAGGCACCATCTATTCAAAATTATTTCGTAAAAAACAAAAAGAATTTGACAATGTGTGCAGATAAACATTAAAAATTTGTAATAATGTCATCAAAACTGTCCTTTTAGGGCAATATTTGGCGATTTTTTGCAGTTAATGGTGAACTGCACAAAATGTAGGCAGTTAATAAAACTCCTACAGTAAAAATGAAGGCAGACTTCAACGTGCCTCCATTTTCAAAAAGCGTGTAGGATGAAAAAAATGCTTAGAAAGATAGGACAGAGAAGTAGAGTAATAATAATAAGGGTTATTGGTAAGGCACCTCTTGGGCACCGTCAAAACCCTTGGAATATGAGTAGGAATTCTGGTGATGGTTTGTGGCCAACGAAACGGCAGCAGTTTGGACTGAGTACGTCCATATGGCTTCGTTTGATTGAGTGGTGGTTTATGGAGACATATAGGTCCCCGGGGGACACGAGGCAAAGAAAAAATAGTTTCAAGAGGATCTCCTAAATTCTCGATGGTCCTTTCTCGGAGTCATGGAGACAGCTGCTCGGAAAAGATGAGGAGAATAAAAGATCAATAGAATCAGTCTTAAAATAAATATGCAGTCTTTGCTTGAAAGCAGACAGCTAGTTAACGACTTAATTTCAGTTGGCAAGTTATTCCAAAGAAAGCTATATCTGGAAGCAGAAAACAAAGAGCGTTTATATGAGGATGCAGGAGGAGGTATAACAAGTGCCGAGTTTCTTAGGTTGTAGTCACTCCTTCCTCCCTAACAGAAGTCGATTTTGTATTGCCAAAGAAAGAAACTGCTAGAGGATTCTGCTGTAGATGGCGTTGCTCAGTTTCCTCTGACCTCGCGGCCATATTCCCAGTTGACTCAAAATGCAAATGTTGCTACTGGACCAGAAACCTCACCTAGTCCTCTGTGTCATCTCAACATGCATGTCCGTGCATTTCCTGGACAACTTCATATATCTAACGGTGGCGCTCAGTCTTCCTGCCCTTGTGTCCCGCCATATTTTCCCCCTCTTTAGTTACTCCGGGCGCTTTCTATGTCACGAACTGTCTTACAGAACCGGACGAGAGCATCCGTACACTATGTTCCGTGGACAGGTAATCACTAAATGGCTGAGTTCCTTCCCAAAGAAAGTAGCAGCTTCCTTGCTCTAGATGCCAGATTCTTGCCGGATAGGTTGCACTTGCTTCAGCTTCTGGTTTTCACCATGTAGCTGAAACAGGGCAGTACCTTCAATAGCCAATTCCAACTTCTCTCTGCTGGTCTATAATTACGCTCAAAAGTCAGTATAATTATTTAGTATGTATAAGGGAGATAGGCAGAGCCGTTGAAAACCCTATTTACAGATATTTTCTGGCAAATCGTGCATATGTATGCATGTATATGTATATACATTATATCAACCGTTGGTGTCTACCAAATGTTTGACCATCAAGTACAATTTTATTAAGCCTACTGTTAAACGCGTCAACGCTTTTAGCAAGAACAACCAAAGGAGGTGGTTTGTTCCAGTTTTCAATGATTCGTTGGGAAAAGAAGTTGGCCCGCACTTCTAGTTTAGTTTCTTCTGTTTGTATAGATGAGCTTGGAGATGTTTCGTGCCTGCCAATTCGAGAACTCGGTCATCCGAAGCCTGACGAGTTTGAAGACCATAATCGTATCTCCTCTGTATTGCCTATGAGAGAGGGAAAGTTTGAGCATTTCTAGTCGACCCTCACATGGAAGGCCTTCCAAGCCGCTGACTAATTAAGTCGCCTTCGTTGAAGTCAACGCCACATGTTCTGCGTCATAGCTATGTACAAAGAGGGAGTTCAAAGGTATTTACCCATATTTCCCTAATGAATTGAACTGAACTTTTTCCAGCGCTGTGTAATCTTGCTTCATCCAGGGGCACCACGCCTTAACGCAATATTCTAACCTCGGCCGGATAAATGTTCCAAAAAATCGGTAAAAAAGCTCCGCGTAAAAACAGAGGAAGGATCTTCTGATCGCTCCTTAGATGCCAATAACTCTCTTTGTAGTTTGGGCAAAGTGTGTTGATGGTTTGAGAGTGGGCATCATGCATAAATCTAGATTTTTTTATTCGTTTACTTGCTTGAGTTGGTGGCCTCCGATGCAGTACTCATATTGAAATCGTATTATCTCTCTGTAACTAGACCGTAGGCGGATGACTTGACATTTACTGAAATTGAGGTGCCGTAGCCCTTTATCACACCACTTCTGCAAGCGATCCAAGTTTTTTTGTAAGTTCCGTGCCTCCCCCAAACTTTCGATTAACTTCTAAATCTTCAGATCGTCAGCAAACATAATTTTTCCCGGGTAAGGCAATCAAGACCATCATTCACATATACCAGAAACAGAATGGGACCCAGAACGATCCTTTGCGGAACCCCACTGGAAATGGTTTAGCGTTCTGATTTGGCGTCTCCATTACAAACATGCTGGTATCTGCCTGTAAGGAAGTCGACTAACCATTTGTGTAGATTTCCCAATCGAAACCACTAGAAAGGAACTAGAAGGCATTCAGCGGCGCTTTACCAGATCTTTATATAAATA